TTTTTAAATGTAAAACGTACAAGCGAAAATTAAGAAAAACAAAGAAAAGTAAAAATGAAAAACTTTTCGTTCCTGTGGAATTTTCTTCACTATTCAAGTCTTCGATTATTTAGATACGATTATAGAATATGCCGCATATATGTATATGTTATGTAGAATTTGAACAATATTTTTAATAAAAAAATTATACAAATATTCTTGTTAATTTCTATGTGTTTGTCCGCTCGTACTTCTATCTACAAAATGTCTCTCCCTTTCTCCATTTATTTTTGAAGCTAAAATTATAAATTCAGAATTATTTGAATATTGAACTATAGGAGAAAATCAGACTAAGACGAACATTAAATATTAAAGCCTTTTTCATAAATATTTTATTATTGCAAGAACAAAATTTCTTCCAAAACTTCTGTTCCTTTTACGCGTTTGCAAAGCATTAATTTTGGATCATTTATTTTAACGAAACTCTAATCTTCTTCTAAAATTTATAAGAAAAAAAGAATTTGTTTTCAAAAAATTTTCAAGTTTTATAGAAAAAATTTTCTATAAAACTTGAAGCAAATCAATTTATTTACAATTGTATTTAAAAACCATATTCTGATTATTTTTTTAAATTACTACTTTACCGTTGCAAGTTTCTTTACAAAGTCATACTGATATGACCCAAACAACGAACTGAATAAAATTATATTTTCACTATTCAAACTTAAATCTCATACATATATAAATACAAATTCTAACACAGGATAATGACTGGGCTAACACAGGACTGTGGCAGAGGGGAATGTGCTGTATCAAAAACCTTTCGTTTTAATGACTGTACTTCTAATATTTTTGTTTACATATACGCTATTATACATTTGTATATGTATAAAACCTTTATTTCACGTAATGTATGAATATATGAAAATTTAATTGTCAGTTTCTTGTTTGTGTTTTTTTTTTGTTGACTGTACATTTTAATGACAGGGGTGTACAAATAATCATTATAAGTAACATTAACATGAATACAGAAAAAGAGAAGATGTGTCTATAAAACCCAATTAAGGGATTACATCACGTTTTATTCCGTTTACATGTATATATATATATACGTATTTACATACTTACATAAAATGCATGCTTCTATAAAATATTCTTTTGTTTTTACATAACTAACGAACGTCTCATCTCTTTATTGAAATTAAAATATCGTTCACATTATATTATTATTATTTTCATTATTATGAAATATACGCATACATATACGAATATATTTATAGATAATACTTGAAATTGTACAGGATAAGAGAAAAACGTGTGTGTACGTGAGTACATTAATATTTCATTTGTTATTGGTATACTCATGTTATAATACAATTATTAAATAACATAAAAAAACTAGAAAAAACATACAACAATGTATGTACTCACAATATACATAAGTATGTTCACTAAATAAATATTACATTTGAAAATAATAGTGTTGAACAATATTATAAAACTGAAACTTTTTAGGAAAAGCGTGCCATTTAACCAGAAACCAAAAACAAAGAAACAAAAAAAAAATATAAAAAAAAAAAAACAATAATGTAAAAACACAATATAGTAAAACTAAACGGTATATTTGTAAAAGCAATGGTAAACAAGAACAAATTTCATAAATTTTATAAGTAGATTTTAATTTTGTTTTGTTTTTTTTTTCTGTTACAGGTGATTTGAGTTTAAATATGTTATACAATATAACTACATACATTTGAACGTAAAATTAAATTTCAATGAAATCACGAATAAAATATTTTCAAATTTTTTTGGTTTTCTCTCACGTTCCAAATAATAAATATGTACATTGTAGTTACATACTGAAAATGTACATTTTTTTCTTAACTCTCTTCACAATACGTTTCTTGATGGTATGAGCAGTGGTCCTGTAAACATATATACCTACATAACATCTTACATTAAATTTTTTTTTCTTTTTTTTTAATTTTTTATTAAATAATGGCATTATTCCCTTTGTATTTTCAACATTCATACAAACTTCCCTACATAATACATTTGTAAAGTTTTTATAATGAACTTTTTTTAGATTTTAATTTTACAAAACGAAAAAAAAATTCAAATTAAATTAAGTATTTTAATTAAATTATCTTCGTTCACATTTTATAAACATTCTTTGTACTTCTTTTATTTAATTATTGTTATATTTTCGTATTAACATACACTTTTTCAGTGCAGGTGTTTCTTTATTTTTAAATACCTAAAAATATTTATTTAGTTAAAAATCCATATTTTGATTTAATAAAATTATTATACCGCCGCATGTTCATAATAAAATAACACGTTCATTTCCTTTAAAAATTTTCATAAAGTGAAAATATTCGTATATAATATGTAAATATATTTAAGAGTATATACGTAATAAGAATCTGACAAATTATTAGATGGGGAATTAAATGTTATTACATCCGATTTGTTCATACACATTATGTACTTATATATATATATATATATATATATATATTTTATATTAATAATAATATATGACACTATCTATAATAAAAACAGGATATTAAAAGTATTTATTAGTGTCATTATATACCAGAATTATCATAATGATAATGTTAAAGGACAATATTGTTTGTCATAAGTACCTACATATAATATTGGCGTTATAATTTACATAATGTGTTATATATTTTATAATATAATATAAGCCTTTGTGATTTGTAATTATACATTACAATGTTTACATTATAAATTATTATTTTATAAATTAATATTATAATAATAACAGTGAGAATATAATGTGTATGTATTGGAAGAATATTTTTTATATTCTTCCTGTTATACGAGTATATAAATTAAAAAGATTTAGATTTATGAGTAATGAGTTTAAAAGTGTGAAAATTAGCTTAAATTAAACTGATTACAATAATTATGGGAAGAAATAATAAATATGAGAACAAGAAATATTTTTAATGGTAATTTTATGTAAATTATAATAAAATAAAATGAAAAAAAAAAATGAAGAACACAGAACATTTAAATTATGTCATTTTCAGGTGTAATAAATTTTTGTTATAACACTAAAACATATTTTAGAATTAAAATTTATTTAAAACTCATAAATCTTATACTTTTCGGAGAGAAGATTTATTTCTATAAAATTATTATTACTAGGATATTACAAATATGTGTAGATAAATTTTTTGAAAGAGCATTACACTCGATTATAATTAATATATTCCACTGACCACTTATTGTTTATTGCAAATTCAATATTTTCAATAGCAAAATTTGTCTTACTCAACAATACAGTTGCTGTGTTTACTTTTTGAATAAAATCTCTGTTGTTTTCTTTAATAATATTAGAATATTTTTGTTTTCTATCTATTGTTTCAAGTGGCAAATTTAAAAAAATACTTGCACACAAATCGTAAAATAAAAGGCACATCATTGTTCATATTTCTGTTAGCTTACAATACGACCGTTTTATATTCAAGATAATTTGGTGAATATTGAAATTACCTTCAGCAAACCAGTTTTTCTTATTAAATTAAATTTCAAATTAAAAATTGCCTTTTAAAATTTTTAATCTCTGCAAATTACTTTCTTGAAAAGATAAATTAATTAAGAAATTTTTAGAGAAAAATGTGTTTTAATATTCCGATTTTGATAAGCATTATTCATTAAATCAATGAATTTCTCATATGTACTTAATTATTACCTGAAAAATGGTGCAGTAGTTATGACACACCGATCCATTAACCGAAGGGTTTCAGCTTCAAACCCCGGCAAGGTCAATATAAAAGTTATATTCAATATTATAGCTTAATATACAATACTTATAAAATTACAAATTATTATACAAGTAATTTTCATATATTCATAATATTCGATATTAAAAAAACTAAGAAAAATAAACAATAAATATTTAATATAAAGAAAAAACTACGGCAGGCTAGTCACCTACCTAGTTTAACTCTATCACGCAATGAAACTAGCCCCATGCTGCTCCTCCGAGTGAAAAAGAAAACAAAATTTAATTATAAGATTTAACCTCAAAAAAGAAAAATATTTTGAACAAAAATTGGCAACAGCTAATTTGAACGCGAAGTTATCATACTCGTAATTTAATTTTCAATACCATTTCCAAAAATTACAATGTAGTTTTAAAACTTATGCAATATAAAATGAAAGTGGTATTATTTAAAAAAGTTCAATGTGGGTCATTAAGACCTAAAATTAAAAATATACAAAACTTTTGTACTATGTATGTTACTACAACAGTAATATCATAAATTCGATAATTAATACCATCATGATTCCAATGAATTTTTTCAAATTTTAAACAATTAAAAAAATTGCATACTTTTAGGGAAAGCATTGTAAATATTTTCTCCAATCACCTCCTTAATATTAATACCATTTTTAAAAAAAAATTAAATATTTCGAGGAACTAATTTCGCAAATTAAATATAAAAAGTTTTTCTTTTCAATAAGACTAGAAGGAGATTTTTAATTACTTAATTCACAATACTTTGTGTTTGTATATTGAGAAAAATTAAAGGGAAAATAAAAAAGTTCGAATTAATTTTCTTTTCCAATTTTTTTTTGTTCTTAAATTTTGTTTTTTTTTTGTTATATAAGCTAAACGTTAATAATTTACTTGCTTTTGAATAATTTCCTTCTGTTTGATTTAAATTTAATAAAATCAGTGTAAATAATCAAAAAAAAAAACAGTAGGGAAAAGAAAAATAAACTTCTTGTTTATAAAAATAATTATCCTTTTTCTATAATGAATCGTTCCTAAAATAATTTCTTGTAATTACTTTCATCACTTCTTAATTAAAAATTAAAAAACAAGAGCAAAAAAAAATAAAATCAATGTTGATTTTTTATTTACTTTCCCTTTCTGCCATCATTTCCTAGTCAATTTCAAAGAAAATTCAATTAATTTTATATTTAATTAGATTGTATTTTAATTTCTGTGTTTTTGTTTTTTCTCTTCTTACTTTTAGATTGACTGTACTCTATGTAAATATGATGCCGTAAGCACTGAAACAAAACTTCATAACAATTATGAATATACAGCAGTTAGTGAACGTGATGGTAAGTAATAATTATTGAATACACATAAACACGCACACAAATTATAATTTATCGATAATTAAAAAATTGCAAAATTTCCGTCTTTAAAATAGGAATAGGTTAATTATTATGAATAAAAAATTAATTCAAGAAAATTTATAATTTACAATTAAATCTCCTTGAAAATGGGGAAATTTAAAAGAGAAAATGATATTTTCCAAATTTATCTAATACCAGAATCGTGTGCGAATGCATAAATTTTAAATAAAACACTGTGTGTTAATAAAAGAAAGCCATTTATATTCTCAAAATAAAATTCTTATCAAAATTGATAAAATCCTCTCATAACCATATCATTTGGAAATCAAGTATGGTATTGTTTTTTTAGCCTTGTTATGGCCATCAACTCCCAAATATTATTATAAATTATTGTGTGAACACACCATTACTTTTAATCATGAGAAAATATTTTAAAATTGAATGAGTAGAATATAATTTTCATTTTCTCTGACCTCTTTTAAAAAACGCCTATTATATAAAAAGTAGATAATTAATCATTTCATGTTTTTAACTCTTTTCTTTTCCTTTTCAAAAATTATCATATAAATTATAATAAATCCTTAAAAAAAATATATTTTTTAAAATTTTTATCTCATAAAAAAATTATTTATTTATTTATTTTTTTGGTTCCTTTTTATTTCAGATTCATGCCATCTTTTACATAATTCACCATTAAAAGTAAATCATAGTTCACCATTAATGCAAGTTAAATCAGCTGCTATTCATCATTCATCACCAATAAAACAATTTTGTACAGTACAACAAACAAAAATTGATACATCACCTTTAAAACAATATAGTAATCATCAACATCATCATAATCAATTAAATAAACATAATCATTTACATCATCATCAACATCAATATTCACATCAATTACAGCAACATGGATCACCTCAACATTATCAAATGACTTTACCAAAAAATTATCGACTGACAACGATGGCAGCAGCTGCTGCTGCTGCTTCTGCTGCCGCTGCTACATCAACAACAACAGCAAGTGCTGATGGATCAACAACAACATTATCTGAAACAATATGCGGTAGTACAGCAACACTAGGAAGTACTGTTAGTATAGGAGTTTTAGGTGGTGGTAATTCTGGTAATAATAGTGGTACCATTACTGGTAGTACAAATATATGTATTCCACATGGTACAGCAACGACAACTGTTTATTTTCCTGTAGCAACAACAAACCCAATTAATAATCAATATAATTGTAATACATTACATTATAATCAACAACAACAACAGCAGCAACAACAACAACAACAACAGCTTGTTAAATATCATACAATACAATTACAACAGCATGGTAATGGTAGTGGAAATTCAAGTGGTATAAATACAGCAACAATATCAACAAATTCTGTTGGTAATATTAAAGTAAATGAACAATCGGTTGTTGGGCAAACATCAGCGACTGTTCATGGTAAGTCTATTGTTATATAAAAAATATAGACTGATGAAATTTAATGTTCAGAAGTAAACAAATGTGTGTGTTTACACATGTCTACATTTTATTAAAACTTCATTCATTAAAATATAACGAAACAAAACCAGTTTATAAAACTCTTAAATTTTAAAAGCTGAAAATTATTTTAATTTGTATAAAAAGTATTAAAAATGAATATGAAAATCATTTTATGAAAGAAGAGAATAATAACCTTCGAAAACAGCACCATGAAATTCATATCAATCGTTTGTCTCGTATTACCGAAGCATCAGTTTTGTTACAAGTACACAGAAATGATGAAAAAAAATAATACAAATGATTTTTGTTTTGCCTCTAGGCTTTTTCATCTTTTTATCTTTTCTGTATAAAAAAATTAAACAAAAAGGATTTTATAATTTTTTATTCTTTTTGTATCCTTTTCTTGTTTTCAACACTTTGTTTTCCTGATTGTTACTATCACCATTTTCATTGTTTTCAAATTTAAATTTTAATTGATTTTCGCAGTACAACGGTGATGTTAAGGACACTTATTGTAATTAATAATGATTTCAATATTATATTAATGAAATTTACTAATACATAAACATACACGATTATATTATAAATCCGTTATGCATGTATGTACCGTATAATACAGAAAAAAAAAATAATTTGTAATTAAAATTGTCGTGGATTTCATATTGGAAATATGTTTTTTCTTTCGCAGAATAATATGCGCATATCAATGTGAGTTTAACAATGTTAAAATTATAAATTTTTTTTTTTAAATTGTCGTTAGTGTGGTCTTTTAATATAATTTTATTATGACAAAACGAATAATACAATTTTGTAATAAATACCTTTCAAAACAATTGAAAACCTGTTCAATGAAATAAAATTTAATTTAATTTTTCATCTGATCTTTAATTCAATAAAAATTAAATATTGAAATATACACTAATTAAATTAAATATAGAAAGTAGGTATAGGACTGTCTATGTAGATAGTAATGATGTTGATAAAATTTATATTAAATATTAATAAAATTTTATTATTCCGCATTGTTTAAAGATTTTTTTCTAAACGATAGTATAATTAATATATAAATTATAAAAGCAAATATTAGAAAAATTAATATAATAAAAAGCTATTGAATAGTTTTTTCTTTCTTAACTCATCTGGAAATTTTTATTTCTCCTAAAAAATTCGGAGTCTCCTAAAAAATTCTCGAAATCTCGAAATTTCATTGTTTCAATTTCAACAATTGCAACGGTGAACAGTGAATATTGCTTTGATTCCTTTTACTTTTTGATTTGTAACAATGACAGCTTATTGTGCTGCTGTGCGATGTAACACAGTGGTACTCAATCTTTTTTTTAGTTGTGTTCCTCAAAAAAAAATCAATTTTCTTACATGTTTACAGTTTAAAAAAAATTTTACTACAAATTTGATGATATGATATAGATATTTTGCAAAAAAAAAAAAATACAGCATAAAAAAGTTTTGAAGAATCTCGTTGATTAGTTAAAGTCTCGTTTTTTTAAAAGTAAAGTAAATTACTTTTAAAAAAACGAGACGTTTTTTTAAAAGTAATTTACTTTTACTTTTAAATTACGTTTTATTAAAAAGTAAAATATTTGCGAACTTTGACTGGGGTTGTTAACATGTAGCTGTTTTATTAAACGGAAATACAAGTACCTGTTTGGGCTCCCTTTAGCAGCCAGTGAGGTAGTATGGCATATGTTTTAATGATTTTGCTATAATGATTTAGCCACATTTTCAGTATAAAGGAGTTTGCAGTGTTTATTTGTTTCAAAGAATGCTTCAATAATACTAATTTGATCAAGATCAAAAAAATCGTGAACGTTTAGAATGTTGTTATAATAACTAAAATAAACGTTTTTCTATTCAGTTAATTAAAGTAAAAGAAATTGCTAACTATAATAAATGTATCTAAAGTTTACGTAACTCAGGAATAATGGTTATGCATACTCATTACAAATTTTTGTAAAATGACTGAGCCAAATATTATAAAAATTCATGATAGAAGAAATTTTTTCCTTTTTTGAACAATTTCACACAGATCATTTTAGCTTTAATACTTACGACAGTATTTTTGACCCGCTTTCATAACAATGTCTGATACGATAGACAATTAATGTAAGAAAAGTAATAGTCAGCGCAAACGAGAGAACAGTTGTTTTTTAACACAATCTATCCCCATTTACAAATATTAATTGTCATGAAATTATTATATTTTTTTTCTATTTAAATATATTATAAGTTTAATGTTGGTGAATTTTATGTGGCCCTCTTAAATCGCGCTAGGTCCCACAGGGGGATAATACAGCCTTGTTGAGAAACACTAATGTAGCCTACATTTTTAACCAATTTCACTTTCAGCTTCAAGTGTTAATTAATAAATTTATTGAATGAGTATTAACATTCTACTATAGAAACAGAATTTATTTCTAAATTTATTCAAATTTTAAAAATATCTTATGATAAAATTGAATTTTTTAAATTCCCACTTTACCATATGCTTTTTAACTAACAATATAAATTTACAGACGGTATTAAAATTTATGTGATAAAAAATTTAAAAATTATTTGATTTAATAATTTTCAAGTCCTTTGTTTTTCAATTACAAGTTCTTGGATAAAATTATTATTTAAAAGAATTTCATGTCATATTGTTGCCATAAACTATATGTTGAACAACATCCAAATATTATGCAAATAAATAGAAAAACACCATCATAAAACTGCATATACAGAGAGTAATACATGTTCACATTATCTTACAGACCTTATTTATAATTATTATTCAAGTCTAGTTTACCACTTTCCAAAAAAAAACTCAAAAATTTATTTAATAATCATTTTTCATTTCTTTTTTTTCATAATAATTCATAAACATACTTCTTATACATGATTTAACACAATGATATTCTAATAAAAAACCAAGAGAAAGAATATATTATAATCTGGTGAGATTAAAATTCATCGACAGTCAAGTATGAAGAAAAGTACATGTACTTGGCATTCACCAAAAATCATAACAATTTAAATTTGTATTGTACAATATTATAACACATGAAAATATGCACATATTCATACACACATTTGTTGTAGAGATTAAATGAAATAAAAATTTTTATCTCAAGGTTTCCAAGTGAATGGCTTTCACTATTAACTTTGTACATGTATGCATTATGAATTAGATTTTATAAACATTTGTACCCATATGATTTTTGGTACTTATTCCAATGTGTTAGGAGCGGTATTGTGTTGTACAAACAATCGTCCATATATCTTGAGTAGAATTGAGTTTCTTTTCATACTAATATGGTTATGAACTTATAATTACTTACAAAAGGAGGTTCTATTCATTATTATAGATAGCTATCAAACTACAGCAGTTAATTTGTTTGATTTTCAAATAACATTACCCTTGTTGCCATAAAAAATATTTCTGTTTTTATTTTTTAGATTTTTTATTCATCGTATACCTTACATATTTTTATATGTAAGGTATATGGGCATTATACTTCACCAGAGTACCATAACAGAGTATTTAATTCATGTAACAAAAACCACAAATACCTTATTTCCATACCAATTCAATTGTAATAACTGCAAGTCTATTGTAATACTTTTCAAAAAAGTTATACTAAGGAAATAAAATTAAATGCAGGGCAAATTAAAATTAAAGACAGGACTAAAATTAAATTTATTATTTACAATTATACATAAAATTTTAGGCAATATAGCTCGGGAGCTCAAGAAATTTTCGATCTAGTTAAATAAAATATTTATCAATACCTGTCAGTTGTTAAAATTTAAAACTTGTCTAAGCTGCTGCCTCAAAATAAAACGAATATAGATTTTTTTTTAAATTTTTTATGTAAGGCACTGAATTTTGGTCAATTGCCCCATTTTTAATTTAATTATGAAAACTTCTTAGGTTATGTGTTGGCCACATCAATGGTATAAAATAAATACTTTTTTATAATTTGAACAGCTAAAGTTTTACGTGTATATTATACAATTTAAGTTTTAACACAAAGCATCAGATATGAAAAAAATTAAATTTTAAAACAATACATAAAAGTTTAGAATAAGATCTAAAAGTACAGGTACAAATATTATATATTTTTAAGTATACATAACATCACAGATATAGACAATGGACGAAAATATGAAAAGATTAAAGAATGAAAAAAATATGTGAAGCTTTTAAAATGAATTTAAAATAGGATGCACTCAATTTATGGACCCACAATAATATCAAAATATAAAAAATATTTCATGGTACAGTAAAAATTTTAATTATTGTTTATGTGTACCATTCGGCACACCACAATCCTTGAATTTAAGATATGCGTTTATTTAAAAACTAAAACTACAATTAAATTTAAGATAAATTGTGTTGTATAAAGGACATTAGAAAACCTTTTTTTATCTGCATATTTTCATAAAAGAATTTAGTTTAACAATATTAGAATTTTACCACTTGCATCCTTTATTGTGTGTATTAAAGTGTTTATATTTGATATTGTATTATTTCTCAAGGATTTCACTAATTTTTTTTTAAGTTAAAAACCTTATAAGTTGGCAAAAATAAGATTTAAATGAATTTGAGAAATCGTGACAAAAAATACTTTAAAATTATGAAGTTATTTTGTAACATTTTATGTATTTTGTAAAATCTGTTACTTGCGGAAAATGTTAAAAAATTTTAGTTAAACACCAAAAACTAAAGGTAAAGGAAATTAATTCTGCATATTTGTTTGAAATAATGTCGAATAGAAACTTAATCCACTTAAGTGCAGAGTAAATAGCATTAACCTTTCTTTAAATTACGCTTTTTAGTAATTATTCATTTATTGATTCTCGTAACTATTAGAATAATTCTTCGAATTCAAGGAAGAATTAAAAATTAAATAATAAACAAATATCTTTATCCTTGAATTTATGATTCGAGATTAAATAAACAATTTATTTTTGAATTATATAAATTTTTTTATAGAAATCCATAAGAACTTAATAAAACGCTTGAATGTGAAAGATTTAATTAAATATTTGCAAAATATCATCTACAAAAAGCGAGAAATAATTTACTTTTTTATTATATGAAATTTGTAATTAAGAGAATCTTTTCAATAATTTACAAAAAATTTATTAATAAAGTGTGTAGTCAATTAAAATCAATCATTTAAATTTAAACATCAATTCAATAAAACTTTAACTGCATTCTGTATTAATTCGAAAACGTTTTCCTCTTTTTGACTCTCGTTAAAGGTATTCGACGGGGAAAATTCGTACCGAAACCATTACCACATGAAATAAATATGCTACTTGCCGAAAGTGATTTATCATCATCATCATCATTAAATCATCGAAATGATTCAACAATAAATAGTAGCAATAGTAATTCAAATAATATTACATGCAATTTAGGAATGTCATCAATAAATGAACAAACAATAAACTGTACAAGTAGTACAGGCGGTATTGTTGATATAATGGAAGATGAAGAAGAAAATGAACAAAACCGTAGCATAAGTTTAAGGTAAGTGAAATACGTGTTGTTTATAATATTTGTTATGGAAAATTTTATTTTAAATTTGTGGGCTCCTGCGTTTACAAATCAAATGGAGTCGTCTATGCATTTTCAAAACAAATTATTTTCTCAATAAAAGTTTAAATTTCATACGAGTATAACCTTTACTTCAATTTCAATTCGTTTAACTTCTTACTTTATATTCTATATTGATTAAATAAGAAAAAGAAAATAAATACAAAAAAAAATTTTATTAATATCATTGCATAAATAAAATTGGTAATAAACTTCAATTGTTATTATTGTAGAAAACTTATAATAAAAATAACTTTGATTTTATGAATTGGCAAATTGCAAAATTATTATTTTGTGTGTTAATTTTTGTGTTTTATTCTATTTCTGAATCTGACAAAGAAAATAAAAAGTTATCGTAAATTTTCAATGAACCATAAAAGAAATTGATCCTTGAAAATAATTTCTTATGGGAGAATCACGTTTTTCTTAAAGAAAGAAAAATATTTTTAATTTTCTCTTTGCATGCATGTGCGAGTTTTTGGTATGAAATTAGTTTATAAAATGTATATTGAAAGCACTCTTGGAATAATTATTCTCATTTTTGGATGAATAATTGAACTGACGCGAATGTTCGAAACATAGGAATTCCCACTGGAATATTTAATACGTATTATAATTGGCAATGTTGTAATTAATCGGTTAAAGTTTACAATGTACATTATAAAATAATTCAAATTCCGTGTAAGATAAAAATGTCTAAATAGTATGTATCAACCACAAAATTACAGACTAAATTTATATAATGCGAAAGTCATAGTTTTTATATCCATACGAACGTATATTCGAAGGGTGTACTAAATTTTCTTACCGTTTGTAACGCTAAGAAATAACGGTCTGAGATATAGACTCAAGTGTATGTTTTTGATCAGCGTCGAATTCTGAGTTGATTTAACTTTGTCTGTCCGTTCGTCCGTCCGCCCGTCCGCCTGTCCCAGCGATAACTCAAAAACGAATTGAGTTAAGTTCACCAAATTTTCGCAAATGATTTATTGTAGTAAGTGCCAGAACCCTATTATTGAAAAAAGTTATTTGGCTATATCTCAGAAACTATAAACGCTATGGTATTGAAATTTCGCACAAGTAAATATATTAGTAGGGCCAATGTGTTTGATAAAATTCATTAAAATTACTTGGCTCTTTCTGGTAGCTGCCATACAACTTCAAAAGTAGTTTGCAACACATAGTGTTTTGAAAAACACAGTACTGAAATTTTGCATAAATTAATATGGCAATACGGCAACTTAAAGTCATAGTCTGTCCCATAGTTAGTTATGGCATATTTATTCGCACATGAATAACAAATTCGTACGGGTATCACAGAGTTGACAAGGTCAACTCTATTTTTTCTCGTTTTTAAATAGTTTTGTTAAGCCACCATACTAGGAAAATTAAATATTTCTTTAAGAAATATTGATTTAATCTACGAGTATAGCAGTCGTTTTAATTTTTAAATAAAAAATTTAAAGTTCAACATTTTTCTGATATTTAGAATTTAACATTAGACAATTGACAGTTGACATTTGACAGTTGACAGATGATATTTGGCAGATGACAGCTGAAAGGTGACATTTGACATTTTACAGATGACAGGTGACATTTGAGAGATCACAGGTCACAGTTGATACTTGACATTTCACATTTGACAGGTGACAGATGACAGTTGACAGGTGACATTTGACTGGTGACACTCAGGTGGCATTTGACAGTTGACAGGTAACATTCTACGGGTGACAGATTAGAGTTGTCATTTGACAGCTGACTTTTAACAAGTGGCAGTTGACAGATGACAGTTGAAAAGGGACAGTTGACAGTTGAAAGGTGACATTTGACAGATGACTGGTGACATTTGACAGTTGACAGGTGACACTCTAGGGGTGACAGATGACAGTTGTCATTTTACCGCTGACCTTTGACAAGCGGCAGTTGACAGATGACAGTTGAAAGGGGACATTCGACAGTTGAAAAGTGACATCTGACAGATGACTGGCTACATTTAACAGATGACAGATCACATTTGACAGATGACAGATAACGTTTGACAAACGACAGCTGACAGATGACAGTTAACAGGTGACATTTGACAGATGTCATTTGACAAATGACAGGTGACAGTTGACACGTTACATTTGACATTTGATAAATGGTAGGTGACAGATGGCAATTGAGAAATGCCAGATCACAGGTGACTTTTGACAAATGACGGGTGACATTTGACAGATGACAGTTGGCAAGCGACATTTGACAGACGACATTTGACAAATGACAGGTGACATTTGACAGATGACAGGTGAAAAGTGACTGATGACAGGTGACAGTTGACATATAACATTTGACATTTGATAAATGACAGGTGACAGTTGGCAGATGACGGTTGACAGTTGGAAAATGACAGTTGAAAATTGACAGTTGATAGGTGGCATTCGACAGCTGACGGGTGACAGATGACATTTGACAGGTGGCAGTTGACATTTGACAAGTGACAGATAACAAGTGACATTTGACAGATGACAGATGTCAGTTAACAGATGACAGTTGACAGATGACAGTTGATAGGCCATATTTGACAGATGACATTTAACGGGTGACAGCTGACAGGTGACATTTGACAGATGACATTTGACAGATGACAGTTGACACGTGATAGCTGACATTTGATAGCTGACAGATGACAGTTGACACGTGACATTTGACATGTAACAGCTGACAGATGACAGGTGACAGTTGACACGTGATATTTGATATTTGATAGCTGACAGACGTCAGTTGACATTTGACAGATGAGAGGCGGCATTTGACAGATGTCATTTGACAAATGACAACTGACAGATGACAGGTGACATTTGGCAGGCGACATTTGGCAGATGGCAGGTGACAAATGGCAGTTGACATTTGACAAAAGACAGGTGACATTTGACAGATGACAACTGACAGATGACAGTTAACAGGTGACATTTGACAGGTGACAGTTGACACGTTACATTTGACATTTGATAAATGACAGATGACAGGTGGCAGATGATGGTTCACAGGTGACAGATGACATTTGACAATTTACAGATAACAGGTTACATTTGACAAATGACAGGTGACATTTGACAGATGACAGGTGACAGCTGACAGATGACAGATGGCAATTGACAAGTGACAGATCACAGGTGACTTTCGACAGATGACGGGTGACATTTGACAGATTACAGGTTACAGTTGACACGTGACATTTAACATTTGACAGGTGACATTTGACAGATGACCGATGTCAGTTGACAGACGACATTTGACAAATGACAGGTGACAGTTGACGGTTGACTGTTGGAAAATGACAGTTGAAAATTGACATTTGACAGTTGATAGGTGGCATTCGACAGCTGACGGATGACAGATGACATTCGACAGGTGGCAGTTGACATTTGACAAGTGACAGATTACAGGTGACATTTGACAGATGACAGGTGACAGAACACAGGTGAAATTTGACAAATGACAGCTGACATTTGACCAATGGCAGGTGACAGTTGACACGTTACATTTGACATTTGATAAATGACAGGTAACAGATGACACTTGACGGGTGACAGATGACATTTGACAAGTTACAGATCACAGGTTACATTTGACAGATGACAGCTGACATTTGACCAATGGCAGGTGACAGTTGACACGTTACATTTGACATTTGATAAATGACAGGTGACAGGTGACAGATGACATTTGACAAATTAGAGATCATAGGTTACACTTACAGATGACAGCTGACATTTGACCAATGGCAGGTGACAGTTGACAGGTTACATTTGACATTTGATAAATGACAGGTGACAGATGACATTTGACAGATGACAGATGTCACTTGACAGATGACAGGTGACAGTTGGCAGATGACGGTTGACAGGTCACAGTTGACGCTTGACTTTTGACATTTGATGGATGACAGATGACATTTGACAGATGAAAGATGCCACTTGACAGTTGACACGTGACATTTGAGAGGTGACATTTGACAGATGACAGGTGACAGTTGACATATGACATTTGACTGGCGACAGTTCATATTTGACAAATGACAGATGATAGGTGACATCTGACATTTGTCAGATGAGAGTTGACAGGTGACATTTGACAGATGAGAGTTGACAGGTGACATTTGACAATTGACAGTTGGAAGGGGACATTTGACATTTTATAGATGACAGATGTCAGTTGACAGATGACAGGTGACAGTTGAAACGTGAAATTTGACATTTGATAGATGACAGTTGGCAGGTGACATTTGACAGATGACCGATGTCAGTTGACAGATGACAGCTGACAGATGACTGTTGACAGGTCTCATGTGATAGACAACAGGTGACAGTTGACACGTGACATTCGACATTTGTTAGATGACAGATGTCAATTGACAGCTGACAGGTGACACTTGACATTTGATAGATAACAGGTGACAGTCGGCAGATGATGGTTGACGGTTGGCACATGACAGTTGACAGAGGACAGGTGACATTTGTCAGGTGGCATTTGAGAATTGATAGATGACATTCGACAGCTGACAGGTGACAGATGACAGTTGGCAGATAACAAATGTCAGTTGATAGGTGACATTTGACAGACGCCAGTTGTCAGATGACAGTTGACAGGTTACATTTGACAGATGAAAGGTGACAGTTGACACGTGACATTTGACAGGTGACAGTTGACACGTGACATTTGACCAATGACATTTGACTGGTGACAGTTGGCACGTGACATTTGACATTTGATAGGTGACAGATGACAGTTGACAGGTGACATTTGACATATGACGGTTGGCATTTAACAGGTGACAGATGATAGTTCACAGGTGACATTTGACAGGTGAAATTTGACAGATGTCATTCGACAGATGACAGATGTCAGTTAACAGATGACGGGTCACATTTGACAGGTGACGTTTGACAGATGACATTTGACACGTGGCATTTGACAATTTACAAGTGACAGATGACAGGTGTCTTTTGACATTTGACAGATGACGTTTGACAGATGATAGATGTCAGTTAACAGATGACAGTTGACAGGTCACATTTGACAGATGACAGTTGACAATTGACTATTGGCACGTGACATTTGACAGTAGACAAGCGACAGTTGGCAGATGGCAGGTGACAGTTGGGAAATAACGGTTGACAGTTAGCAGATGACAGTAGACAATTGACATTTGACAGTTGACAGGTGATATTTGACAGATGTCATTCGACAAGTGGCAGCTAAAAGATGACAGTTGACAGATGATAGGTGATATTTGACTGGTGACATTTTACAGATGAGAGATGACAAGTCACACTTAACAGATGATAGGTTACAGTTGACACGTAACATGTGACATTTGACACGTGTCATTTGACAGATAATAGATGAAAGGTGACAGATTAACAATTGACAGAGGTGACATTTAACAATTGACAGGTGACAATGAACAGTTGACATGTGTCATTTGACAGGGGACAATTGCCAAGTGACAGTTGACAGTTGACGGGTGGCTGGTGACAGATGACATTTTATAGGGGAGGGTTGACAGTAGACATTTCGTTATTTATTTATTTTGTGCAGAAAAAGTTTCTGTTTATCGTCATGTTACGTTTTTATGGAAAATATTTTATTTTGATTTTTTTTAACAAAAATTTATTTTCGTGGGAAATTTTGCCCCATCGTTTGCAGCTTATAATTTCGATAGTGCAAACTTTTCCAAATTTATATAAATTCAAAAAGCTAACGGTAAATGCCATGCCATTAAAAAATATATGTAATTATTTGTCTTAACTGACAATTATGGTAGCATCTCTTCATATATTTTATTTGTCTCATCCTAAATGTATGCAATCGATCGTATTATTTTGTTATATGAATGAAAGTAATTTAAATAATGTACTTGATTGTTTTTTAAAGGAGTAGTTATTGATTTGACCCAACTTGATTTCGTTTTAGTTTGATTTTTTAATTCTTAGACTTAAAATATCTGTAGCAATTAATTTTAATTATACAGGTTGAATAAAATAATTAAAAATTAATAAACCGTTCTTACATTTTTCAAAACATACGTAAATTTAAACAACCCTTATCCTTACTATTAATTGATAATTAACCTAAATAATATAAATTACTAACTCATGGAGGTCAATATATTTTTAATTACTTAAAAACACATGAAAAATAAAATAAAATAAAAAAAACAAATAGAAAGAAAATTTAATTAAAAGTCATTTTTAATGAAATCACACTATCATAATTTACAGTTATATTTAAGCAATTAATTTCTCATCAACATAAAATGCGTGCTTTCCATACCCTTTAACTTTTTAATACATGATTAAATCAGAATAAAGGAAACCATCCATTAAGTAATCATTTATTACTGCCCTTTGAAGAGAATAGCTAGGAATACAAAAAATTAATACAAAAGTTTTCATATATAAATTCATACATACATACATACTTGTATGTACAGAATTAAGGAAAATCAAATAATAACCAAGAGTATTCAAAATTAGAATGTTATCTCCGCCTTTACTAGTTCCCTATTAATAAATATTTTGGAAAACTAGCTATTTAAATATACTGGTTTCCTTTTTATATATTTTATTTTCTTCTCACCTTTTAAAGTTTCTTCTAATGCCATTTCTTTAATGTTGATAAAAATTTTACCTGCACATATTATATTGATGTGTATGTTGTAGCTATCGCAAACGTATGATGTTACTATAGGCCTTGACTTTTCATGTATTGGGAAAAAATCTTACATACATGTGCACATTTCTATTGATTTCTTTAATTAACTTTGGTTGTATTACCACGAACACCACCTCTCCTTCTCTTACTTTCTGGTTCTCATAGACGTCGTCTAATATTTATTTAGGTTATAAAGAATAAAATAAAATTTACTAGACAAACGGGAACAAAAAACCAATTTGTTTTAGATATTTTTTTCCCCATTTTGTCCATGTTTTTTTTTACCAATTTCAGTATAAAGGCTAGTAGTAATCGATAATTATAATTATAGCAAGAATAATGATTAGTTCAATATTGACTTTTTGTCTCAAAACAAATTATAGGTTTTCCGACAGCTCTTTAATGGGGCTCTTTTTATTCATGTTGTTTTGTTATTTAAACAAAAAAATAACGTGTGTGCGAATAAACAGTCAAAAAAGACAAAAGTCTCGTTTAAACGAAATTAACAAAAAGTTATTTACGATACAAGTTTACCATCAAAATACGAAGAAGTATAGATAAAAAATAAATAGACTTTACCAGGAGCAAATAAATTCAATGGGGTTAAATTACGTATGTAAACAAAATTTGAGTTTGATAAACGACTTCAGGGAAAACAAACAGATTCAAACGGATATTTGAAAGAAGAAATCGATTTTAGGAAATACTACGTGGAAAATATTAAAAAATTATAAGTATTTCGAGTATTCATAAATTTCATGATATGATCAAGATTAGCTTAGGACGACGGAGACAATCAAACATTTAAACTGAAAACCTAAAAAGTTTAAAAGTTACATTCCTTCACTCATGCTTTTTACAATCATTTTTTTAAATCACGACCATTCTAGCTACACTTCATAGAATTGTGAACTGAGTTGCGGCCCATATCATAAGCCTACAAGCTTCAAAAATTGTTAAATATAATCAAATTCAGTTTAAAATTGAATTAACTCTTTCTCTATCGTAGAATATTGTAAAACCTATCTACAAATTCTACCTACATCTTCCATCAAAGTAGCTCTAAATTCATGGACTGAAGATATTTTGAGGAAAACTAGAAATTTTATGTAGTTTCGGTCTTAATATGTGGAAATATTTCGATCGATTTGATTTAAAATCTGTATTGGAAATCGTATTATTATAAATTAAATAAGTTATGCTTAAAATGGCCACATTTAGTCGTACGCTTAATGACTTAATGATGACAAAAACAATATTATTCCATCAAAATCCAAACATTTAAAAAGAAAAATAAAACCACATTAATAACAAGAATGTTGAAGTTAAATCTTTCAAGAATTTTGAAAGATAATTAAATTTCATTTAATTCTTATACGGTACGGTTAAATATTTATTACTAATAAATTCGCCATACTATATTAAAATATAGAGAATTTCAAGGCAACAGGACCCTTATTTCAACTTCCTTAAGTGAATCAATAAATTTAAGTTATATTATGTTTAAATCTTCTTTCCCTCTACTGTTTCGCTTTTCAATCAAATTTAAATCGACTATAATACGAAAATTACAAAACAAAAAAAAAAATAAGAAGAAAACCATTTCCATTCCTATATAATTTTTTATACAATTTCCTTTTCAATTGTTAAATTTCTTATTTTTATTTTCTCAATTTCAGTTGTCCACATGGTACACCATCAAGAATACCATTATTACAATCATCATCATCCCCAGGACCTGGCTCACCATACCGTAATAATGGAATAGATATTGAATTGGAAGATAAATCAAATACCTGCCCACTTATTTCTTCAACAACTTCAATAGGAAATAAATTTAATAGCAACAAAAATACTAACTATGATAAAACTCAAGAAAATGGAGGCATTAATAACAGTTCAACTGTTACTACTTTTCAACAACAACAACAACAACAACAATCACATCATCAGAAACAACACCATTCACATAATCATCAAGAGAATTGTATTGATGATGAAGATGATGATGATAATCAGCATCGTCATCATCATAACCATAATCGTCGTCATCATCATCATCATCATCATGAGCAGCAACAAGTGCCAATCACTATAGTACTGTTCATATTAACTGGTTATATATTTCTTGGTACAGTTATATTTGCATTCTGGGAGAATTGGAGTTTTGTAGATGGTGCATATTTTTGTTTTGTAACATTATCAACAATTGGTTATGGTGATTTTTTACCTTTACATACATTTCATCATGGTCCAGATGTTCAATTATTTGCCTGCTGTATATATTTATTAATGGGTTTGGTATTAGTAGCAATGTCCTTTAGTATTTTAGAAACACAATTGATGTGGAAATGTAAAAGAATTGCTGTTAGATTGAAGTTAGCTAAAGATTGATGTCAATTTTTATTCTTAATCTGGTTCAGTAAAATTAATGTAAAAATTTTCCATACTACAAATGCAAATGATAAGGGCAATAATAATGCAGAGCATAACAATATTGTCATTATTTTATTGTTGAAAATGTTTTTAGACATGTCAACAACATTATCATCTTTACAGCTATTATTCAATCGAAATTGTATAATTCAATATAATTTTTTTACATCCATATGCATTCAGTTTATGCAATGTTATGATATAGAGAGACAATGAAAAGGACACAAAATTGATAGAAATGAATATTGTTGGAAGATAAAATTTTTGTTTTTTTTTTTTTTCGATTTTAGATTTTTGTTTCAAATCTTAAGAGCAGACATTTTAAATTTATTATTGTAAATATATATCTATGAAGTTTTGTCAAAGGATCATTGAAATTATTTATACAACATGAAAAATGGAAAAAAAAGATAATAAAAAATTGAATAATTCTTATTTTAAATCTCATTTGCATAGATTACATTTTACGGTATTCATTATGTACAACATTTTATTCTTACTATAACTTAATATCGTTAACTAAACATCGAGATCACAAATTTATGTTAAGTGTTTTAATAAATGGTTGAATGCACAGCAAATTTTGTCCAATTTGTCACTGTATTCAAAACTGAATGACTTGAATATCAATCAAAGATGTATTCTTCTCAATTTTTGTTCTATATTGACCTATAAATTTAAAAGAAGCATGAAAAATATCTTTCCATGTATGTTCAATAGCAAAAATATGTTCTTGACATACTAGATGTTTGTGATGGTGAATTAATGCTTCAAGTCTTAAGTGGTTAAATATCAACGCTATTACTACAAATTCGTTTCTGTTTTCTGAAATAAATTTAATAATAATTCTGTTGTATAATTAATTATTTAGTCACCTATTATTATGTGCTTCAATCAAAGTTTAAAATAAGATAGGAACTACTGAAAACTGTTCATCATTTCTTAAGAATCAACGAAAATAATCTGTTCTCTTTTGTACAAATTCAGCAGTTTTTATAAGAAATTAAGTTTTAAATAATTTTCAATTCTAATTTTAAATTTTATTCATTTTGTTTCTTATACTAAAAATTTATTAATAAATTTAAGAAAATTATGAAAAACAAAATCTTAATAGAAGAAAAGATGCTAGGCGAAAACTATAGGTTCAAAATCAAAAAAAAATTAAGCTAAGTAAAGAAATACAAATAACAAGGAACCCCTTAAAACAACGTTAAAGAAATCAAAAAATAAAATTTACTCCAAAAAAGAAAAAAAGAAAAATCTAATTATTTGTAGAAGAAAAAAAAAAAATATGATTATAAAAATAAAAAAAAATAATGTAGAAAATAAAGTATATATATTTAAAAAAAAGGATATTAAAAAAAAATATATAAAAATAAGGATAATAGTGAAACCATAAAAAGCTCTTAGAAAATAAAAATGTATATGTATGTAAGTTTTATAAGGAAAAACTAATTCAGAAAATAAAAATTTTCATTAAAACTATGATTTTTATTTTGTTTTCATTTTTATGATTGTGTATAAGAATAATATTTGTATGTCAACAAAAGCTGAAATAAATTTTAAATCAGGTCTAATCATAAATCCAGATATTCAACAAAATGCTTCTTCACGAAACTCGAAGAATGTTTTTTTCAAAAACTTGAAATTTCAAAACCAAATTCTCTAAAATCAAAAAAAAAATTGGAAAAGTCACTAAATTGTTTTGCCTTTCTTAATGAACTATTCTGGATATGAGTGTTCATTAGACTAGATGAATAACTTGATATTCATCTAGTCATGACAAAATATTCTTCCAAATTCATAATTAGTACGAAATGTACGGTAGACATTGGGAAATTACTATTATTTATGAAGAAGATAAAAAGCACCATGATCAAAATGTCTTTATTCATGTTATTGTAGAGGGCACAAATTACGATCTTATTAAAATGTGCGTAGAATGTAAAAAATACCTTAATCATCATTTATGGAAAATTTCAAGTTTAAAATGTTACTTTCTTTGAAATAATAAGACGGAAAACCCTTTAACCTTACACAATTAAATAAAAATAAAAAATATGTTGCTAATTGTTCCTATTACTGCCAATTAACGTAAATAATATTACCTTCAGTACTTTGTTAACAAAAAAGTCGAAAATAAGGCAGTTGTGCTAAGAATTATCAGGCTGATAATAGTTCTATATAGAAAATTTCGGCAATAGTAAATTCAGTTGAATTTTTAAGGCAAATGTAACTAAAAGTCAATTGCAATAATTAACAGACTAGTTTAATTTACAACAATTAAGCAATATTATTTAAATTTTAGGCAATGTGTTCAAAAAACATTTGATTTAAAAGAAAAAACGTCAAATTTTTGTAAACGTAAATTAAAATAAGTATATATTTATATTTTAATATTATTTGTGACGAAATTTCGCATGTAGAACTCAAGTAGTTTTTGGAAGATATTGTTAAACATCGACAGAAACGATCGTCTTATGAAAATAATTAACAGGTAAGTAGAAAGTATAACTATATAAAAACTATACAGCACGTTAGACAAGGCATCTTTACAATTGCAACTGTTTGTAACAACTTTTATTCACACTAGGTCTTCAATATATGACGACCATATGTTGTGAAAAACTGCGTCGTAACTTGAATCGTAGGTAAACGAAGTTTATAAATTTTAAAACAAAAATGTCGTAATCCAAATTGTGTCGTATATCAGGTATATCATAAAGCGAGAATCTACAGAGAATCGAGTTTGATTTTAATAGTTTTTCAATTCAATTTCTACAATATCAAAATTTATGCATCGAAAATCATTACAAAACAGTAATGAATAAAAAGTACACTAAAAATTTAGTTTAATTTATTTTCTCATTATAATAAAATCCTCTTTGACATACCCGTAAATATATTATATTCAGCCCCCTTAATTTATATTTACTTCTATTATAATAATATATAGCTAAATTGTTTCTAATTTGTTCGAATTCATAAACAGGATATTAATTTTGAAATTAATGAAAAGTAAAACAAAATTTTTTCAGATACATAGCCATTGTTAGCAATATTAATTTTAGAAAACTAAAAATTTTTTAATTTATATGCTCATAAACGCATAAATGTACAAAAAAAATGTCTAAATTTGATTTCTATTTAAGGTTATAAAGAATTAAGATTATAAACAATGGAGAACCTGAAAAGGTTATACTTGCTATTTACAGTGAACAATGATATCCTTGCATATTTTATTATTTATTATTATATTTATGTATACAAAGTAAAATTTGATTTCATCCTTTTTCAATTTTATTATTTCCTCGATTATATTTTCCAAAAAAAAAACTGAAACAAATTGAATTCAAGTCAAAAATATTTGACTACAGCTATAGCTCCACACACAAAAAACTCTATGTATATACAAAACTCGAATAACAAAAGGGAAAATTTCAATACCATTTAAAACTATGTTATACGTAGTATGAATGTTTGTACTCGTATGTACCCTAAACATAAATTTTTAGCTTATATAATCTGGATATAAAAAAAAGTATAGGTAACATTTTAATTTAAATACAGCCAAAGGATCAAATGCGACTTATTGTGCATATTTATACAAAATCATTACTATATTATATGTACGTATATAATTATGTATGCATATATGCATTTTTTAAAATTTTTTCCCCCAAAAATCAGAACTATAAAATATGGGGGGGAAAAAATATACGAAAAGGATATTGCATTATTTCCTACTGCGTTTTATATTGCTTACATTTTCAATATAGAATGCAAATCTATTATAAAATACCTGTACTTACATAATATGTATACATATACGTATATAATATGTATATTAATATTTTAAATGCACAAATTCTTTACAATATACTCGCTAAGTGCTTTTTGTGGTTAGACGTTAATTCCATATGTAGTTGCCATCAATAGCCTCAATAACAGCATCAACATTTCTTGTTTTGTTTTTTTTTTCTTTTTTTTTTTTTTGTGCAAGAACCACAATTTAATTTAAAAAAATAAAACAAACGAGTATTCTCTACACTACACCAACAAACTATTATAATATGACTGTGACTTACGCCCTCTATTGACTGTACAATGTACATGTAAACCATGTAATATGTAAGTTTTTATTTATAAGAGTTTACGATATACGATTTTTTAAGGGAAATGGAAAATGTACAATATGAAATTATTATACGCATATATTAATTCAGTGCTTGTGTGTATGCGTGTGTGTATGGATATATTGTTTAAGAGCATTTTGGTAAACTTCCTCTTTAATTTTTACCAATTCAATTCACATTGAATTGTGATTTATTCTTTTCTTTGTTTTTATTTTTATTCTCTTGTACTTCTTTTTTAAAACATATAAAAATACCATTAAATTGTTTATAGATTTTACATGATTCGAAAAATAAAATGGATCTGTTCCTGCTCTTTCTTTTATTTTTAACATACTTTTAGGCATTGTTTTTTTTTCATTTTTGTTTTTGTTTCTTTTCCGAGCATGTAAATATTCAGATAAAGAGAAGAAGAAAATGAAAACAATTTATTCAGTAATATGCTCACGTCATGCATTTCCCCCTTGTACATTTATCCAAATAAATATTTCATTTAAAATCTTTTACGCGGAACATTCTTGTATTTTGTTAAAAAATTATTAAGCCATTTTGTTTTTGTTAAATCTTAATATTTTTGGTTGAATATTGTCAGAGATATTTTAAAATAGTTATTCAAAAGTAAATATGAATAAATTATGTGCTTTTGTGAGAAATTTTGATTAAGGGTCATATTGGAATCAGTTTTCAGTTGTATAAAGATAAATAATTGAAAAGATTCCATGTATATTATGTAATTTTCGTATTTAAGTAAAAATTTAAGTTACAAGATCAAAAAATGTTTGCGTAAATGAGAAAAAATATTAAAGTTCTTTAAAATGTTCAAAGAATTTTAATGTTTGAATTCCAGACAAACCCATCAACAGGATGAGGCTATGGATTTATAAACTATTTAAGATTATTAACAGTTTTCTGAATTTAATGAAGATATTCTAGGAATTTGCGGTTTCTCTCACATATTCGCCTACGTGGATGCTGTGGATGCTACGTGGAAGCACTAGAATTTCAAAAAATTTCAAAATTGACGTGAATTTAGATAATTTGTGATTCTTTTTTAAAAAAATTGGAATTCTTTAATTTTAGGTAAAAAAAAAACATTTTTTTTTGGTATTGAATATTTAATAGACTCTTACCGCATTGAAAAATCTAAAATATTTTTATTTGATTCTATAAATTGTATTGAAAATAAAAGATAACATTATTGGATTTTCAATAAATTTACTTACCATACCTTTTAAGTTTAAAGTCGTGAAAAAATCTTATAAATACAACTAACTACACAATCTTAGTATAATTGACATGCTTGAATTTGACAACTCTCCTTTAAGCATTTGAACTGATTCGACTTTTTTGTTTGCACCCAATCAACTGCAATTTTAAATTAATAATTGTACCAGTTCAAGCAATATCAAAAAATTTTCAACGAATCCAGAGAGTATTCCAATTTTTCCATTTTTCCAAATTAAACTACAAATATAGTTAAAAAATTTTGAATATTTTTTCAAAATTTCATTAATTCCTGCAAAAAAATATTCCAAACAATTTGCAATCAAATCAGTTAGTCGCTTCTTTGTTTCCATCGTCAATTTTTCAAATTAATTGCATATCACTAAACAAATCTCTTCAATTTTCATCTTTAAATACTACATGTAAGGTATCAGACTTAAAATAACAAAGTAAAATCTGTAAGATTATAGCAATATTCGAATCTAAATCCTTGTTTGCATAATGATCACTGACCTATCTAAATGGTTTTTGATGAAGATTTTTCCCAAACAATTTTCTATTTATACAAAAATTTGGGAACTTCTTAGGTATAGTGATCCCTTTATCATATATAAATGCATTTTCAAGGATTTCTAGTGCTCCATTTTTTTTCTATCTCATATCTACTTAAAAGACCATAATTCACACACAAAATAAAAATTAAACTTATATCTGCTTTAACTTTAAAACAAATTTAAATGTCTTAAATTTAAATTTAATAATTTTGTCAACTAAAAACAAAAAATAAAGTAAAATTAAAAATAAAAAATGGTCCTGGTCATAAAGAAAATCATAATTTTTTTATCATTATTCACATGACTTACCATAAGCTTTAAAAAAATTATTTAAATTTGATATTATAAAAGTTGACATTTTTTATTTTAACATTTTTATTTAACCTCAAAGTTTATAAACTAATCCCAAAAGAAGAACACAACAAGAAGGCAAGAATTTAAAAGAGGAAAATTTTTTTTTTTTTTTTTTAAATATGCAAATTAATTTTTTTTCCTTTCTGTTCC